CCACCCCCCAATGATTGCTTATGGCTGCACAAAGGGTGACATTGCCACCACGCTGACCAGGGACTTCCATTATTGCACACTGGCCAATTACGTTTCTCCCTCTCCTTCTTCTCTTCATAAGATTGAATCTTGATTCATCTACAAAAATCCATTCATGGGGCCTTTCCATGGAATCCAATTCCAGCACTCTCTGTAAATGAAAATAAAGACATTTACTGTAGTATGTAAGTGATACTGAAAGACTTTTACATCAGTGTCTTTGTATGCACTCCTGATTTACATACACAACATTATAGCGCACTCTACACTAATTGTAGGCAAAAAGCTCAGAAGTGTAGTGTAAGCATCAGCACTCAAAATGTCTGAGTGTTTACAGTACTTTCTCACACATACTGATGTCGTAGATCTTTAACCCTTTCAGAATTGCGCTCAAAGGGAACTCTGTATACTTGCTTCATGCATATGCAGTTATGTCAGAGGTCAATGATAGAAAGGCTTACACTGTTGATTCCTTCAGAATTTACATTGTTTTCAATAACTGCTGAGTCGGATGGCATTGTTTTGACAGACCATTTCAACAATGAGAACCTCTTGCTTTTGGGAGAACAAAGCAGTTCTTCCACCCTGAGGTGGTAGTCTTGCAATTCTACAAAATTATAAAAAACAAACATACATGTAGTAAAAGTGTGATGGAAATTACTACTATACATAAAATGTTGTCTGCTTGGACAGCTTTTCTTTACTGTATTTTTCCAGTTCACTTTGAATTACTCAAGTGAATTACTCATTGAAATGATGAAAATACAGTGTAAAAAATATTACCTATTCTCTTTTCTGAATGTTATGGTGGCCACAGAGAATCTGCTCAAGTTAGGTTGAACTCTTTGTCCTGCCTCCTTCATCGTCATTCTATGCATGAGAACATGGTCTATCACAGTAGCTCTAATGTCATCTGAAATTACTGTTCTTACTCTTCCTCGTCATTGTCCTCTTCATCCACCACCTCATATACGCACTCTTCCTCTTCCTCTCATATTGTTATCCATGGTTGAGGAATGTACCCGTGTCATCTGTGCACTTTGAACTGGCTTATATTTTGTACCTGTTCATCACATAATTAGAAACAAATGTGAACTATTTTGAACTGTTGTGTGTAAACGATTACAACTGTACCTTAGTTGCGTTTAAGTTTTGCTGTGTTTAGTGTTGTGCTAAACAAGGTCATCACAGTGTGAATTGTGTTTTAGTGAGTGAGAATGTGTTTAGAGTTTAGCAAAAAGAGTGTATGAGATTTGTAAACAGTGTCTAACTGCCTGAACTTGTTTAAGGTTTTGCAGAAAGAGTGATTCATTTAAGGTTTATTGTCTTAGCAATTGTGAAAAACTGTAACGTAAAGTCATCTTGAAAATGTAACTTATATTAACAAGTATTTTATTTTATTTTTGCTTTAAGGAAAACAGTGGTACTTTATGCTGCCATCTATCTGTTTTCTTTATGAAACATAATCATTTTTGTATAGGCTACTAATTGTTAAACCAAGACCCAGGGCCTTTCGGAGGTTTCTTCCACTAAAGGGAGTTTTTCCACCCCGCTGTTGCCAAGTGTGTGCTCAAGGGGGATTTTTCCTCTATAACAATAATAATAATAATAATAATAGTAGTAGTAAGGTCCAGACCTTACTTTGTAAAGTGCCCTGAGATCAAATGATTGTCAGTTGATCAAATGCACAGACATACAGTCATGTGGAAAAGTTTTAGGCACTAATACTAAGTTGAGGATGCCTTGAAAATTAGTGCTGTAAAGAGGTTAAATTTATAAATTAACTTCATGCCACACATATTGCAGTGAACATAAAACAACTAAATCAAATCATTATTTGATGTGATGACCCTTTGCCTTTTAATTAGCAACAGTTCTGCTAGGCACACTTGCACAGGTGGGTTATTCAGAGCATCTTGGAGAACTGACCATAGTTACAGCAGCCATGTGTTTACATTTTACATTATCTTATCAAAAACCAAGATGCTGAAAATTGCTACTGTGACCACATGGTGGCACTAGTGTAAGTATCAAATCCATCTGGATAAGATATTGCATCACTGTTGTGTTGGGCTAGTGAATAATCCGAGTAACAAGATGATGAAGAACAGTTTACCATATTAATTTAAAGTTTTGAACATTAATAACCTGAATCTGAACTAAAAAAGCAAAATCAGCATTTCTGAATCTTATCTGTTGGATGTGTCTTTAATTCATATCATTTAATTCATGCTTGAGTATAGCCTAGTATCCTCTCTCAAAATGGCACAGGTTAAAATTTCTGATTTATTGACTGTTAAGACAAGTTTATAGTGTCCATACCTGCTACACTCATACAAGGCCTGTACTAATTTGATACTTCTTGGCAATCTTATCATCATAATGTTGATAGGTCATTGCTGTCAATCATACCGCTACCTGTCTAGACTGATGGAGAGGCAACTAATCGACAATGACATATGATCTGAAGCTAATGCAGGCTGCATTCAATAGAGTAGACAAAGATGCTGCATCTTCAGTATGAAAGTGGCTGGTGAGAGTGAGATTTGAGACTAGAAGGCAAGAAGCAGAATGCTGAGGTCACCAGCCGAGTGTCTCCAGTGTGAAATGTCTCAAGTCCAAAGGGAGAAGGAAGGACAAGAGAAGTCTAACAAAGCAGTTCTAGATAAAGCTTTGGGGGCTGTAAAGTTTCTGTCATTAATATTCCAAGAAGAAATTGAACGTAATAATGCTTTACTCTGTGCTTTAGTTTGAGCTGAGAATTGATGTTGACAGTTTCCAAAAGTGCTATAAGTAGCAAGTAGACTTGCTTGAGGTTCTTGAAAAGGTTTCATCTCTTCTTTCACCTCCAAATGAATAAGTCCATTTACCACTTCTACCACATTTGGAAATACCATCACCTGGGTGATTGAGAATCTCTCCAAATATATGCTGACAATTTTCCTTATGCACATTAGATGGCACTATAATCCTTATAATGTGATGTTTGAACCAACAGTCAAATCAGAAGGTTCTAACTGTCAGCAGGATAAAGCAGTTAAATTCAAGAGGCACCTGTATAATTTTTGGTGATGTATGGAATTTGACACATTTTAGAGTTTTATTTCCGTGTATTGCCTCCTGACTCTGTAAAGATCGGTTGGTTTGTTTCATGCACCTGTAGTTAGTAACACACAAGCCTGACGTTGTCATGTCATTCTAAATGAAGATGCATGGTGTTAACAGCCTTACATCCTGCAGACACTTTGTGTTTGTGTGTTCTTAGTGTACTGAAGGATTATAAGACATGTTGTATATAGGTGCTCATTTCTATAAGTCAAGTCAAGATTTTTATTTGCCATGTATGCATAAACAGACGGTCTAGGCATATAGGAATTCTTGTGCAGCTCTACTTTGGAGTCAGGTAAGGAGTCAAAAGCCAGAAAGAACACTTAGTCTTAAAAAATAAAAAGTTACATAAGGCAATGTGGTGGCACAGCAGGCAACAAAGTATTAAAAACCACAGCACACAAAAATAGGGTAATTGTATTTTCCCCAGTGACCTTGAAACATTGCATTTAGTAATTTACTTAGTCTTAAAATAAAAAGTTACATAAAGGCAACAAACCATTAAAGCTGCAATACACAAAAATAGGGTAATAGTATTTTCCCCAGTGAACTTCAAACATCGCACTTAGTAATTCACATGATGGAGTTAGATATGTCATTATGCTTGGTGTGGTAGTGAGGGGTTATAACATACTAAAACAATTTATATTCAGGCCTGTTTCCATTGCTTGGTAGAGAATGTATATAAAGAGTATATACAGTGCCTTGCGAAAGTATTCGGCCCCCTTGAACTTTGCGAC